GATCTATAACCACTAGTGAACTCTTCGCTCCGCCTTGCCCTCCCCACCTGCATTTGTGTCTAATAACGCTGGCTTTCTCTGCCCCTCACATATGCGCCTGTGTCTCACACATGCTTGTTGACGGTTTCACAACGGTCTCATTTTTAGTGGCTAATCCACTGAGGGGATAACAGACTACTAATGCTAGTCGTTAGTTCATCAGCTCAAGTGGTTGATTTTTGTGCTACAGATCTAAAGATCCCAAACCTTGTTGCAGATCAAGCTGGAGTTAATACAGGTCCATCTGCTGTAATTTTGGGGGGAGGGGTGTTAAGAAGTCAATTCCTCCAAACTACACGTGAAGCATTCAAAATGTAGGAAATGTCAGAATTAAGGTTGCCCTTGTGCTTGTGTATTTTGTGTCTTTCATGGGAGAAGTGTCTTTTGGGGAGTAGTTTGAGGCATGTTATATCAGGTCAGTTAGAGAACAGAGTCCTAGGGTCAGAACAGCTGTATAGAAACTGAATAAAGCAGGGAAAATATTAAATATGTCAGTGTAACTGAATTCGCACTTTGGCATTTGCAATTCCTGATTTTGGACTCGTTTACTCATTTAGCTTGGTGTCGAGTGCTGGTCTCTGCGTGTATTCTACTGCAGGACATGCCTGTGCTCTACAAACCGGAGAATAATTTGCAGCAAAAAGACCTGCATCCGGAAAATTCGGTTATCGACAATGCTGTGGCCTTCATTAACTTACTGCCACATCACATCAAATTCTCTACTTGGCTGGGCTCTCCCTTGTGCTATGCTAGGCCTCCCACCCGGGAGCGGACCAGAAGGCTGTTTGTTTGCCGACTAGTTAGCGATGGCTGTCCCTCAGGATGGACACGTTCACCCTAATGCGTGTAGTGTGCGTCGGGCACACGCACACGGCAATAAACCCTGCACCGCTGAGTCGCCGAGCCTGGGTCAAGTCGTGTGTTGGCGTTCGGGCGTGGGCTGGAGCCTGAGCGCCAAGACGTCCCCTTGCAGGCTGTCAGCGCCCAGCTCCAACCCAGCCCAAATGTCTGTGGTGTGGCCTGAGCCCCCCCGCCCAAATCCGCTAACCCGGCCCAGCCGGGCCCAGCCATGCTGCAAATCTTCAATGGCAATATGCTGGACAAATGCCAGTCCGCATCCGGCAACAGCTGTTGGCTTGCAAGGGCCTGGGTCGAAGAAGTGAAAACGTGGGTTCTGCTTGCATGGCCGGGGCCTGCCTGGGAAAGCGGTGCCGAGCGCCGAGAGGGCAGGGATAACCGCACAAATGGTGTGTGTAGTGACACAAGCCGGAGCAGGAATAGGGCGGGTTTGTTACCACGGTGCACAGCATTAACGAGATCGATCGTTACTCTGCCCAGCTCTGGTGTCCCCGCTTCAGAAAGGGTGAGGAGAAAATGGGATTTCAGAAAAGAGCAGAATTACTCCAGGTCTGGGGAATGTTCTTTCTAGTGAGAGAAGGAAGCTCCAGCTGTTTGGAGGTGACCCGATCAGCCGGCATGGAGGTCGCCCAATGCCTAACAAAGGCTTGCAAGAGCCAGTGGCTACAAACTGAAGCCAAACAATTTCCAAGTAGGTACAAGGTGCCCTGAGATTGATGAACCCTGGGAGCAGTGGACGGCTCATGGTATTCTCCTTCCCTTGAAGGCGTGCTGTCCAGGCTGGACGTCTTCCTTGCTGCGGAGCCATCACAAGTGATGGGCAGTGCTTGTTGCAGTCCTGTGGCCTGCTCTAGGCAGGTCAGACTACGTGATCAGAATGGGCCCTTCTGGCATTGAACTCTAGGCTCTCTTGTTTACCGAGCTTTGGGGAAGCTATTGCTCTGTCTCTCAGAGACGTGCCCTGTTACACAGATCCAGGCAAAGCTGAGGGTTTTCCTTTTTTCTCTTTGCAGTTGGATCAGAAAGTGGTTGCCAGTGAGATCTTTAAGGATAAAAAAGACAATTATCCTCAGAGTGTTCCCAGGCTGTTCATCAACACCCGACTTGGTGAGTAGCGCACACTAGCCTGAGCGGGGAATACATTCACTTCCCCCCTCTTCTCTACTCCTGTTTCTTCCTGCCGGCGTGTTACTCCCGCCCTTGTCTTTGGTTTCTCTCTTAGGCACTGAGGAGATAAATCCTAAAGTCCTTCAGGTTTTAGGAAATGAAACTATCAAGGTGAGCTTGGTGCCCATGGTTACTGTAAATGTTCTGTGGGGATGCCGTAGAAGCGAACTGTTTACCAAATGTCTGGATTTCCTGACATGAGGTGTTAAGAACTCTGCATTTGGTCAGGAGGTATCCGTGGTGGTAACGCTTCCCTGAGGTGGTATGATCCAGCTATATTTGAGGCTTGTGTGTGTTTGGATGAGGGTGCAGAATTTGGAATTGAAAAGGGGGTTCCCCTGCTGGTGGGGATGATACTTAGAGATTTTTAGGTGAAAGGGGCGATTGTAAGCCGCAGTGCTTTAGAGACAGGAGCTAAATTCACCTTTCAACACCACTGGGACCTGGGTGGGAAAGAACCGGACCTCTTGTTGGTAAAGAAGTGTAGGTTTGGAACCAGCTTCAATCATGTAGGCAGTCCTGAGACCAGAAACCAGAATGCTTGTCCGTATGCAGTTAGAGCTGTGTTGGGCCCATGATGTTCGAGGGGCAAGGGGGGAGGGGGTAATACTTTTTATTGGACCAACTTCTGTTGATGAGTCAAGCGTTTCAGCTTACAGCTGCTCTTCCTCAGGCCTGGGAGTATACGTAACCATGGAAAGTACCAAATCCCAGACCCGACACAACGGCTGTTTGTGCTCAAAAGCATCTCTCTCACCAACAGAAGTTGGTCCAATAAAAGACATTCCCGCGCCCATCTTGCCTCTGTGACTCATAACCAGACACTGGTTAGTGCTCTCTGCGCCCGAGGGCAAGGAGCTGCCAGTTAAACACGTCTCACTGTAGGAAATGCTATCGCTTGTTTCAGTACGCTGTTCCTGTGACCAAGTATGACCGGAAAGGGTACAAGGCTAGACTGCGGCAGCTGCTTCTTACCCAGAATAGCATCTTCATAGTTGAAGAAGCCAAGATCAAACAACGAATTGACTATGCCAATCTGACAGGTAAAGCAACTGCAGGATGTGATTTTGCTCACTTAATGACTGTAGCCGGAGGTTTAGATGTTCGGGTGACCAGTGCATAAGGCAGAGTGTGAGGTTTAGCATTGAAAATATTCTTTGTACAAGTGTGGTTTTGGGGATGATTCTATAATTGATCAACCACATTCACTTGCTACAAGGGAGTTTCATAGTCTCAAAACGCCAGCCAGAGCAATGTTAATCCCTCGGCTTTGTGGGACACGAGTTAGTTGTTCTTCTTCGGGGATGTCCCTGCTGGTGCTCCACTATGGGTGCTGGGCTTGCCCCGGCGCTGCAGACGGAAGCTTGTCAGAATTTATCTATTTCTCTATTAAATCCTGTTATAGTCCTAGCCTTCACAACCTCCTCTGGCAAGGAGTTCCACAGGTTGACTATGCGCCCGCCGTGTGAAGAAGAACTTCCTTTTGTTTGTTTTAAACCTGCTGCCCATTCGTTTCATTTGGTGGCCCCTACGTCTTATATTATGGACCAAGTAAATAACTTTTCCTTATTCACTTTCTCCACACGACTCATGATTTTATAGACCTCTCTCCTATCCCCCCTCAGTCTCCTCTTTTCCAAGCTGAAAAATCCCAGTCTCTTTAATCTCTCCTCAGATGGGACCCGTTCCAAACCCCTAATTCTTTTAGTTGCCCTTCTCTGAACCTTTTCTAATGCCAGTCTATCTTTTTTGAGATGAGACCACATCTGTACGCAGTATTCCAGATGTGAGCGTACCATGCATTTATATAAGGGCAATAAGATATTCTCCATCCTGTTCTCTATCCCTTTTTTAATGATTCCCAACATCCTCTTTGCTTGTTTGACGGCCGCTGCACAGTGCGTGGGCATCTTCAGAGAACTATGCACGAGGACTCCAAGATCTCTTTCCTGATTAGTTGTAGCTAAATTACCCCCCATCATATTCTATGTATAGTTGGGGTTATTTTTTCCAATGTGCATTACTTTACATTTATCAACATTAAATTTCATTTGCCATTGTGTTGCCCAGTCACTCGGTTTGGTGAGATCTTGTAAAGATTATTGCTGGCATTCGTGTAACCCTTTATTCACTAGATACGGTACGCAATGCTGCCACGGGACTCTTATGCAGAGATAATTGTACCCAGTTCAGCCCGGGGCCGCTGTTCTGTGGCCAAGCCTTGGCTTTGTCTGTCTGTGAAATCTCTTCATAGCTACTTACTGCCACCCCCTTAGCCCCAGAACTTCCTTCAGTCCCAGCGTTGACGAGGCCCCTTTCTCCCTTCCTCACCCACCCCTAACTTGGGTTTGGGCCTGCAAGCCCCCTCGTTTCGTGTCAGTGAAAGCTGGGGCTCTGAGCTGCAAAATGTTTGCTGCTTAGATCTTTATTGGAAACACTCCTAGCCCCCGTATAAATTAAACCAAAACCCCCAACCCCCTCTCAACAAACTGCTGCGCTGCACAGTTCTCCGCGGGGGAGGGGAGAGATGACTGACAATAATGCACCACTGGAAAGTGCCTAGAGACGACAGTGCTCAGAACCAACGCATGATAGAGTGCGCGGGTCAGACTCCGGAGGAGGGCCCGTTCGGGTGTCTCTCCTTCACCTCCAAACGGAAGAGCATTTTCCTTGCGTGGTGCTCAGCTACGTTCTCACGCTTAGGCACGAGTCAGGTGTTTTCTGACTTGCTTTATATTCTCAATGTCATTAATGCGCGTTTGCATTTTGGGCCAGGCCTTGATGTCTGCGAGGTTGTAGGCATAGGGACAGAACAATAAGGGCTTAGAGAACGTAAGAGATCTGGGTCTGCCTCTCTGCACCTCCGTTCCCTATCTGCAAAGTGGGGAGAAGCACCTCCCAGCGCGGTTAAGAACAGAACAGCCAGACTGAGTCAGACCAGCAGCTTGTTCCATTCTTACCCCGGGCTGCGCGCTGCATTGGAGTCAGGCGGCCTTTCTGTTTTGCAGGAATCTCTGTCAGCAGCTTGAGTGACAGTTTGTTTGTGCTCCACGTGCGTTGTGAGGATAACAAACAGAAGGTACGGACCCTCTCCTCTGCCTTTCACCACCACGGCCCACGCTGTGGAACCGCCGGCTGTGGGCGTGGGGGAGAAGCTGTAATAGATGGACTGCACAGTGCTCCCTAGATCTGACTTGCTCCTAGTTTGTCACCTTTCGAATTGGTGGGTTTTGCCCCTTGTCCTGTGCCAGTGGCTTCTCTGCTGGCTCTTGCAGCAGTTTGGAATGGCTCTGAGTCCTGGCTTTATTGCCCGCAGCCTCAGAAGCATGTGGGTCTAGGGTCAGTAGCAGGGGGAGCTGTGGCGGGTTATATGCTCGTACAAAGGCAGCCTGGCCTGCGGGCCCCGGGGGCTACTCTAGCTCACACACTGAGATCAGAGGCTGTTGAGAACCGGCGACGACAAAGCTCTCCCCTTGGCTTTTCCAGGGAGACGTTGTCCTACAGAGCGATCACGTCATTGAGACGCTAACCAAAACCGCCATGAGTGCCGACAAGGTCAACAACATCAACATCAGTCAGGGCAGGTGAGTTCAGGAAGAAAATCCTCCTTTGACCAGGGCTCAGGCTTTCTGGGGCAGTGACCTAGCCCTGCCAAACTGCACGTTCCCGGAACGTCCTGCCCCAGGAGACTGCCACGTTGGCCAGGCCATGGCTACATTCCTGTGGCTGACAAAGGGATGAGTCGCTGGTCGCATGGAGCCTGGGCCAGCCTGCACCGGGGGTGGGCAATCCACTTTGGCGGGGGCAGGGACTTTT